TTTAAAAATTGCGAGCCCATACAATAAATAAATTGTGATTTCCATCGTTTTCATTTACAAATATTATTGTACTATCAGAAATATAACAAAGGGGCCTGGACTTCTAAGGATGTAACGGCTGTTAACCCTAACATGGATGTTTTAAGCTTCCTATTTCCTTTATTTTTTAAAAGGTGCGGTTTGTATGGAGCCAAAGGCTCTGAACAATCAAAGTACATCGCACCTTTAAACAGTGTCAGAAAATATGGTTTTAATATTGGAAATCTTTGTGATAGCTTTAAAATATATTTTTATTTCTAATTATAAAATTTAAAGCTTCAAAAATAGTGTAGATTGAGCAGATCTATGAAAACTTGAAAATCTTGAAAATTGATGGTAAAAAAATACATTATAAGATACACTATTTTCAAATTTTGAAATCTATTTTTTCTCATGTCCATACATCTTGATGTCGAGATGTCAATTTGAGCATATTTGGGCATCAAAACAACCTCTTCTAGTGAAATTTTTGAGATGCGTTCTAATTTGATTGTTTATAGCCTCAGCTTGTAGAAAATAAAGAGTAAAGTTTTGCCTCAAAACTCACCAAAATTACACATCTGGCATGGGAAAACCTTTAGATCTACCATCTAAATCTTAACCATTATAGTTGAGGAAAAAAAAAAAGATTTCAAGCCCTAAAAGTAATGTGCATATAGTCATATGTTATCTAGACCATCTATTTTCAAATGTTCACGGATCCGCAAGATTCATACCATATTTGATCCACAAATTTTTATAATTAGTTGTTGAAATTGATTTAGAGCCATCATAGAGATTTTCCATGGCTAAAGTGCTTTTGTAATACGGCTCTACTTTTTCTATCGTAAGGAAACTGCTTTTTTTAAAAGGAAAAAGTTTATATAAGGTTGCAACCTTATATTATTGCAGTAAGGTGCAACTCAACAATCCTAAAGAAAGGGTCAAGTGTTGAAGAATCATCCTATTGATTATCCCGACCTTGAGAATTATGGATATGAAGAAAAAAATAACTTAAAACCTAAAAATAGTGCACCTTGTAACACGTTATTTGAACCGTTTATTTTCAGGATTTCCAAATGTTTATTGATTGGCTTGATTTGTCTCATTTTTTAAATTTTAAATAGGGATAAAAGCGGATTTTCAAGCTATCATAAGGCTTCAGACACCAGAATAATATCACTAAATTTTTTTTAAAGATACGTCTTACTTCTACAGAATAAAGAGCCAACCTCATACAAATATTATATAAGACCTTTCTTAAATGGAATAAGGTTGCAACCTCAAAATGTAGAATAAAAAATGTACCTCAAAAATCCATCATAAAAGGTGTTTGGATGTTGGAAATCCTTTAATCGATTATCTCGATCCAACCCTCTAATTGATCATCTCGGCATCTAGATGTATGAGTGTGAAAAAAAAACAAGATTATGAGTCTGCGAAATAGTATATCTTGCAGCATATTATGTGAACAGTCCATTTTCAAGATTTTCATGTGTTTATAGATCAACTTGATTTAAAACAATTCAGAGTTTAAACTTTGATAATTAGAGATGAAAGTAAATTCTTAAGTCATCACATAAATTTTGGCTACCAAAAGTACATTTATGATTAAATATAAAGATGCGCCTTACTTGGATCATTTAAAGCAGAAACCTTATACAAACCACATCCTTTTTTAAATTTCCCGTGTTCTTCTCCAACCTTTTGTAACACATTTTTTAATGTAATAGTTACTGTACACCACTTTAATCCACTTAAAGCTTGAACCTCCCTGGCAAATCCAATGGACGAAGAACTATTAAAAAGAAATTAAAATAAAAAAAATTAAATAAAAAATTAAAAACGAAATTGTTTCATGCGGACTAAACGGCATTTCTATATATACGGTCCAAAAGCGTTCAAAAATAATAGAAACTAACCGTTCAAATATTTTTTTTATAAAATTATTATTTTTAATTTTTAAAATTGATTTACTTATAGAGATTAATCATCTCTATGTTAAATACTCTGAAAATTAGGGTTGAATTTCTACATGTCCGAGCGTGGCCCGCATGCTAACCGCATCCAAACCAAAATTAGTAAAATGATATATTGGAGCAATAAGACTTAGCGTACATCTCTAGTCTAAGAGCTCAAGAGTTGACATCAAAAGGGCACTTGATAAGGCCACGCCACGCCACGCTAGTGCCACCAATGCTAGATTTCTTCTATGACGTGGCTCCTCACTGGATTAGGTCATCGTTCGAGGGGCTATTAAATATAATAAAGACCCACTCCTATTGGTACATTTATAGTGTAATGTATCTGAGAAAAATAATCTTCATGATATAGTGGTATGATGACAATGTGCCGGTCATTGCCTTACGTCCGGCCCTTGTCTCCTTAAGGCCAGCCCAGGTCCTATTAGAGGGCTGTTTAGGGCTAGAAATTAATAATAATAATAATAATAATAATAAAAGGTCAGTTGGGCGAGTCAATGTTATCAAATTATTTTCGTTTATGTCGAAGAGGCTGAAGCCTTCAAATTTTAAGCATAAACCAAAGTGAAGAGAAATGTGTATTACCGCTTTGGTCAGATTCGGAATGCTTTGTTATGTTTTGGGCGAAGCTTCAAGCTGCTTCTGTCAGAAAAAAAAAAAAACCTATATAAAAGTATTTTTTATTAATTTTTAATTCTTCTCGTTATTTTTATATATTTTGTATATAAATTATTTATATTAAATAAAAAAAATTCGAAGTCTTCCCCCGAATCTGCTGAAGTATCGAATTACTTCATTTTTCTCACCAAACCAAAAAAGTGTCTGAAGCGAATCTGACAACATTGGAGCCAGCACCAGTTGTAACCCAAAAGGCAAGGCCAGAAAAAAAAAAAAAAAAAAAAAAAACAATCAACCTTGCCGGCACTGGCTTGGCCTTTGAGCTGCAATTTATGGCCCAAACCCTACTTTTTTTTTAAGATTGAGCCAACCAATACGTGTGCCTTTACCTACTTTCATTTTCTATAGTTTTTGATGTGGCATTAACCAAAAAAATAAGTAAGAAGAATATATGCTCCCTCTCGTGCATGCTCTATCCGAGTAAAGTTGGTCTCACACTTATCCTAACTAAGAAACTAAATATGGTTTGTATAAGGATGAGGCTCTAAACAATCAAAATAAAGCGCACATCTAATAGTATCAAAATGAATTTTAAGTAAAAAAAATCTATGTGATGGCCTAAAAATATATTTTCATATGTAATTATAAAATTTAAAGCTTTAAAAATAATTTTTGGATCGAGTAGATCTACAAACGCTTGAAAATTTACAGTCAAGATAATGCATTACAAGATGCACTATTTCTGAAACTTAAAATCCCTTTCATTTTTGTTTATTTACACCTATACATCTTGAGGTTGAGATGATCGATTTGAGGGCTTTTTAACATCGAAATAACCTATTCTACTAAAATTTTAAGGTGCATCTTAATTTGATTGTTTAGGGCCTCAAATGTATATAAACATATTCCATTTTAAATTGGGTGCACTTTCGCCCTAAACAATAAAAATAATGCACACCTTCAAATAGTGTTGAAAGATGTTTCAGTATTGAAAATCTTTGTGATAGCCTAAAAATTCATTCAATTTTCATCTCTAATTATAAACTTTAATTCTTCAAATATAGTGTAGATCAGGAAGATCTATAAACACTTGAAAATTATGAAAATTGACTGTCCAAAAAATGACTTACAAGGTGCACTATTTTCAAGACTTGAAATCCATTATTTCTTATGTCCATACATCTTGAGGTCGAGATATTCAATTTAAAGATTATTGGACATCAAAACAACGTCCTCTAATGAATTTTTGATATGTGCCTTAATTTTATCTTTAGGGCTTCACCCTTATACAAGGCTATTTTTTAATTTAGTATTTTCTCAACCTTAAACTCTACAATCCACTTTAAAATAGCCTAATGGATATTTTTAATAAAAAAATTAAATCTTTTTTTTAAGACTAAAAATTAAAATTAAAATCTGAAAAGCTTAGATAGGATCCCCAAAAAAATTTTATTCAACCTAAAGACATTAAATGAGATTCGAAAAAGTCCTAAAATATTGCAGTTGGAAAAAAAAAAAAAAAAAACATGGTTGAAAAACAATGAAAAAAAATATTGAGTGTTATGGCCTCATTAATAATACGTCTCTTGAAGACCACAGCCAATGGTAATTAGTATAACGAAAACAATGATGCAGCCGCTTTTTTTAGATAGTGGCCGCAGAGACACATCACCTAGAACCCTAGTCTTTGAAGCCTCCAGCGATTAGGGCTAGTGGTTTCAGTGAAAAACGACCTGGTTTTCTTTTGTTAAATACACTGGGGCTGTAATTTATTGTGCCACTGCTGTATTTTCTGGTGCTCCAACAATGGGAGGCGCCGCTTTTGGTTTTTGCTCAATTTAAATGAGAAGGAAAAGAAAAATCTTTTAAATTAAAAGAGAAGGAAAATAATAAAAAAAGGAGAGGGATAAGAAAGGTAATGCGCGTTGCGTTTGAAAAGTTAAAAAACATGGAATGTCAACGGTTTGGGAGGGGGGAGAGCATATAAGCGGCGTGAGAGTACAGCATCAGATACAGAGTTCTGGAAAGAGTTTTAGAGAGAGAAAGAGCAAGAGGCATTAATGAGGTGTTGCTGGAAAGGAACTTAGAGAGAGAGAGAGAGGAAGGGGCGGATGGTTTTGTAGAGTGTTTTAAAGAGATAAAGAGAGAGAAAGAGGTAGAAATGGGGTGGTGTCCTGAAACTGCAACAAGAGCGTATCTTGATACAGTTAAACTGGTAAGAAGACTCTCCTTTTCTCTCTCGACCTCTTCTCATACTCTATTCCTCAAATCTCTCTTCCTCTCTCTCTCTCTCTCTCAATCTTCTCTAACGTGGTGTATCTCACAATCTCTCTCCCCTGAAACATTTTATGCTGTTCGACTATCTTCCCTCTCTCTAGGAGAGGCAATGGGGTCGACCCAGTTGACCCAACTGTGTCCGGGTCCTGTCCTATATTGCACCCAGCGAGTCAGGTCCGGCTCTGGCTTTGATCCTATCAGGTTGAGTTGGATCCACGTAACGGTCGACTCAACCCGACCGACCTTGTGTAAAATATATAATATAGTAAAATAAATTATAATTTTTTGAAACTTTTAGGGACTTCCACCTGCCCAGGTCCATGGCCAGGTCGAGTCTAGGTGCACGTGAAACCGAGCTGGGTTGGACCCGGATCGGGGTCACTGCACACCTGCAAGCACAGCTACACCTCTCTCTATTTCTCTAACACACACTCTCTCTCTCTGTGTAACAGTCCCGACCGAGGGACGAGCTGGGCGTGGCCGAGCTCCTCTCTGCCCTAGCAGGCGGTATCAAAGCCCAATTGATCATCCAAGTCCGGCACCCTGGCTCAGGCGTGGCCTCAAGCCTCGGCCTCTCCACCGCCGCTCGCCACACATGCGGACGCCACATCATTGTCGTCCCCGACGACACCGCGCGTGCTGAATACCTGGAGGCCGTGGCTTTAGCTGGTGCCGAAAACGAGGCCGAGATTTTGGTGGGGGATTTCGCTCAAATTTCGAGCGAAATTGCGGACGTGGATTTCGCGGTGGTGGACTGTAGGGGGCGCGACCACTCGCGGGTGCTGAGGCTGCTGAAGCTCAGTCAGCGCGGCGCGGTGGTCGTTTGCAAGAACGCGGGTCTGAGGGCTCCGATGGCCGCCACGTGGCAGAAACCTGTCGTGAGATCGGCGCTCTTGCCTATTGGGAAGGGCCTCGAGATCACGCAGCTCGGTGAGGTAGCCGTTGGATCAAGTGGGGCGAAGAAGAGCCGTTGGATCGTCCAAGTGGACCGCCATACAGGAGAGGAGCATGTTTTTAGACGGTGACGACATTCTTTTTTCCCTGGATCGGACGGTGATGTTCTCAAGCTCGTGTAGACATCTGGACCGTCGGATGTTATTCATGAATATTGACCGTTCAATTACAAAGGATCGATCGGAACTGTTGGAATAGCAAGGGGAAGGAAAAATGGATGGTCTTGGGATTTACTGCCGATTTCTAATTTAGAATTTTAAGCAGGATTGTATATCATGAGATCATTTACTTTTGATACAAGGTCACAATAACATCCAACCATCTAATCTTAAATTCGGCAGCTTGAGTGTTATGGGATGGCTCGAGAAATTTTTTTTTGAATTTTGAACTTAATCAATAATACACTTGCAAATACCGTTGTGAACTTCGCTTTGAACTCCGACAAACCAGAGTGATTATGACTGTCTTTGTATCAAAAGTAAATGATCTCTTTCTGTACTCTCATTTGAAAAAGATCTGAAATATAAGAAGTTAGATATCTTTATAATGGCTCAATCTTTTACTTTTTTTTCTCTTCCTTCGTTTTTTATTTATCTTTTTGGTTTTCTAAGTTCAAATGTCTAGATGGTTAAATGGGAATCGAATTTTAGCTCTTGCTAAATTCCTTCCTTTTTTTCGAACTTAAAAAGTATGAAAAGTTTTCCATGTTATATTATTGTCAGGACTTGGATCATGAAATGGGTTTGCTCTTTTACGTGGGTATGTAGCACCGCAACAGTGCTGTTTTTGTTTCATTGAACAACATACAATAAGGAAATTTAAGATTCTTTCATTGCAAATGGCTTTTCTTTGAGAGCGCCTTGTTCCTTTTGTCTAGGGATGGCTTGGGTTTTTCAGGGCTGAGCCGGGCCATTAGGCCCATTGCTAGCTCTACTTTTATCCACGGTGGCAGCATATATACCGAGCATCAACCTTCAAAAACGAAAGTAAAGCACACATCTGAATTCTATTTGAAAATAGATTGTTTAGATAATGTGGTAGAGGATGTACTATTTTAGGAGTTGATTTTTATTATTTATTTTTTCTGATTTATACATCTCGAAATCAAGATGATTAACCAGAGCGTTTTCCTGCGTTCAAGCAATCATGATAGCGGATCTGTTTGTTTCTTAGGTGCTTGTCACTTTTATAATACTAATAAGAAGCACATGCGTCACACGTGACAAAAAGTGTCAATCATCAAACATAAAAACGAAGTAAAAAGGAAAGGTAAAAGCAAACAAATCAGCACAATTTTAAATTGCTAATAGCAAAATTTGCTATGTTTGTGAATTATTAATACTCATTTGAGTTAAAATATATCTTTTTTTTTTTTGTAAATATTTAAAAACATGGTTAAAAAAATTTAACGCTCAAACAATTTTTATAAATAAATTTATTTAAAAAGAATCTCCTTCCCTCTCGCCCCCCCAGGTAACCCTCTTTCTCTTCATGGCTTAGGCATCTCTCTCTTTATATCGATCGAACTTTCCGTCCTCTCCATCTTTTTAAAGATGGAATGCGAATGCTCAATTAGGAGGTTTTTAAAAAAGAAAATTCATCTTTCTTATTGTTCTATCCATATGACTCTCTTTCTTTCTCTCCCTATCTTATAGTTTAGTCTCTGTCTTCAATAACATATTTTGAAAAGTATGTTCCCATAATCTTTCTATATATAGGATCCCTTCTTATTCTTTCGATAGATATCCCGTAATATTGATATAGATAAGATTGACACTTTCTATTAACTTTTGCCCTTATCCACTTATCTTCTCAAGATTTTGTCAATCTCTTGCTTCTTCTCTTCTTTTTTTATTTTTTTTTTTGACTATTTTTAGTTTAAAGGCACAAAAAGCATACCCCATGAGGGGAATTATCCTTCTTAGATCAAGGCCACCTAGTCATTCTTATTTTGACTATTTCTTGAATGTCATGATTGATAAATTCATAGGTGGCTAATCCACATAAAAGACTTGGCTTGGAGTTTGGTGAAAGAAATGTGAAAGATATTTATGACTTAGGGCAGAAGAACATGATACATGTCACCTTTTCTGCCGCTACCATAGTCTGCAAGTCTACATTTAAAACATGATCTTACATCAAGTCTTTAAGATAGAAACGTGTCCAATAACACCATTTGTTTTTGGTATGTGGAGATTATAATAAATGGAAACAATTTGATATGAAATTAGGTGGTTGAAAATGTGTCATTGACAGCATACATAATTCAAAATAAAATTTTTTGAATTTTATGATACATTTGAATATGCCGGATTTCATTATCAACCTCCTTTTACCAAAAAATAAATAGCCTTATATTATAGAATCCCTTTAATAAAACATGTAAAGTCATCATTTTTCTAAATCTATTATTAAAAAAGCTCATTTTTTGAAAAAAAATGAAATATAGCTACATCATATCATTATCTAAAGTGCATTAAGGGACACTGTTTGAACTGTATCCCTTCCTTATCCATTTACAACATGTAGTGCATATTACACCTGAATCTTGATTTGCAGGTGCAATCACTATTCATTGTAGATGGACAGTGCAAATGTCAAGGGACATAGTTCAAATAATAGTGCCCCCATTCATATTAAATGCCAATACTTACCTAAATGAACTTCTTAAAATATCTTTTTGAAATCACATTAAAGTCCTATACTTATCTATCTCTCTTTGTTCAATGGACCAAATTCCTTACACCCATCTCTCTCTCATTTTATCTTCCAAAGCTTGCCTAGAACTTTGTATTCATACTTTAGCATTTTAGCCTTTATCAATTTTAGTTTGTGAAATGAGTTTTAATTTGTTAAAGTGAAGGGTCTTACTCTTAGTGAAGACCTAAAATTTGATTACATATGTTATGAGTTGAATATTTATTCATTTCTACTTGCAATTCATTTTTTTTTTACCAGACTTCCCCACTTTTTGGGCTTTTTCCTTCATAAGCGCCAAGGCCATCACCCGGGCTTAATAGAGCTTGGCTCACATAAGAATAGGGGCAGCAATGGGCGGGGTGACTTGTTGAATTTGGGAAGAGATGAAAACACCAAGCTCCTAGGATTTGATAGTGTCGTGAGACTATGAATCGCAGAGATCAAGCGTTACCAGAACAATGAGAATTCTGTGATTTTATTTGTGTTTCTCCATAGCAATGAAACCCTTTTTAAAGAGGGATGAGAGGAAACCATTCTCCAACGTTCGGCTTCCTCCTGAAATATCTGAGAAACGTGATCCTCTAATCCTAGGAGGTGGGTAATTATTTTTACTTGTTGGATAATGACATCTTCTCTATCTAAAAGGCCCTTGTTGATTGATAAATATTAAACTATATGATGAAGACAAAGAGAGAGAAATATGACACGTTTAAAGGCCTTGTGACCACGAACACGTACCAATAAAACCTGCTAGCCCGGGCCCAAAAAACTATGGCATAGTCCACGAAAGGTGGCGTGAGAGCCAGGGCACCAGGCATGAGGCTTACCTAAGTTTGGCCTAGACTAGGACCGACGCAGTTCAGCCTAACACGGCCCGCTTTCTCTATAATTTCTCTTTTATTTTTTTAATTTCATTCGGCCAAGCCTGGCCGTTGACCAAGGCATCTTTGGCTCAGTCTGGATTCTGGATGGGCTTATCCTGGGGCAGCCCCATGGATTGGGGGATCACGGCCGGGGTACAGCCGAGGCTGGCTAGGCCCGTTGCTCGTCCTACATAGAAATGAGCAAGTCTTCACTTGATGTTTTGTTGTATCTGGATGATAAGTTTTCTGAGAATCCGATTGCTTTCAAAGTATAATTTACCATTTTGGAGGCAAACACGTGCTTCTAATAAGTGAAAGTACATCATTCAATTGTTGTCCCTTTTCAATACTCTCAAATTTAGCAAATTTCTATGAGACTTTGGCCTTACATCTCATTTTCATGGATGCTATTCTTAGATGCAACATAATAGGTGCGACTTGTATAGAGCCGAGACTCTAAACAATCAAAGTACAACGCACCTTCAAATAGTGTTGCGAAATGTGGTTTCAATACTATAAATCTTTGTGATTGCCTGAAAATATGTTTTCAACTTTGGACCATAAAATTTAAAGCTTCAAAAATTATTTAGATCGAGCAGATCTATGAAAACTTGAAAATCTTGAAAATTGATGGTCCAAAATGCATTACAAGATGCACCATTTCCAAACTTGAAATCCATTTTTTTTAATCATGTCCATGGATCTTGATGTCGAGATGATCAATTCGAGGATATTTGGGCATCAAAACAACCTCTTCTAGTGATATATTTTTAGGTTGGCTCTAATTTAATTATTTTGAACCTCGGATCTATATAAACTTTTTTCATATATAGTAAGATAATTCGTCCAAATTTACTTAATTTTTTAACATTTTAACAGTTTGCATTTTTTTTCAATTATTTCAAGGTGAAATTTATCATAATGGTTATTTAAAAATTAAATAAAAACAAACGAGAGTAAAATGTTAAATGGTTCACGTTTTATGTCTAATTAGATAAATTTCCAAATAAAATATAAGAAAGCATCAAAGAAAAAATACTCGAGAAAAGACAAAAGAGTTGAAAGTCATCAAATGGAAAGGGGATATTTTCATAAGATGGAAAGGGGATATTTTCATAATATGAATAGGGGCCTTTAGGAAAGTAGATACTTCCATAGATGTCATTGTACTTTGGTCATTGGACATGTTTTGCTTTTCTTCTTCTGCTTCTTTTTGATGTCCTTTTTTTAGCTTTTTTTTTTTTTTTTTTTGGGTTTTGGGGTAGGGGTGTGTGTGTGGCTGCCCCTATACTTCATTCTTTTTACATCATATATATTCTCTACTTCTGCGCTTATGTAGTCTCATTTATTGGAAGTAGACAGAGAGCCATGATATGTTTGAAGAAGTCTGATAAAATAAAATAAAAAATAGCACACTCAAAAAAAGATATGTTTTCCAAAAAAAAAAGAAGCTTGCACTGGATAATAGAGTGCTATTATTCTTTGATGTGGTTTGTATACGGTTGAGGCCTGAACAATTGATGTATGGTGCACCTTCGAATAGTATCAAAAGATGTTATTTCAATATTAGAAAACTTTTGTTTTTATCTCCAATGTTAAAATTTAAAGCTTAAAAGATAGTGTAGTTTGATTATATCTATGAACACTTGAAAATCTTGAAAATTGATGGTCTCAAAAAAAAAAAATGCATTACAATTTCCAATATTTGAAATCTATTTTTTCTCATGTCCATACATTTTTAAGTTGAGATAATCGATTTGAGGACTTTTAGGAATTGAAACAACCTCTTCTATTGAATTTTTTAGGTGCATGTCTAGGGCCTCACCCTTAATAATGAGTTGGGTTTGGTACATTATATTAACCTTGATCAATTTTTATTTGAGGAACGACTTTTATTTATTAAAAATGACAAAGTCTTAATGACGAGTTATCATATACTCACATTAAGAACCAATTTTTCTGTTGTTTACTTATTACTTGATATTTTTATTAGTGTTTTAAATCATAGAATCGGGTATTGGATCACCCGGCCACCGTACCTATCCATATCAACAAAGTTGGTGATTCGGATCGGCAGACTGGGTGAAAAATTGGAAAAATTCCATGGAAAAAGAGAGTCAGATCCCTCACCTGCCAAATTAAATCTAGATCGGTCATTCCCAATCTAGATCCTAACTTTAACTCTGCGCAAATAGCTTCACCTAAAAGGGTGGACACATATGTATTTTTAAGTCCATCTTGCGTATTTTTAAGTTCCATCTTGCAAGGCAACTTCGAAATAATCATTCTCTATTATTTGAGCATGTATGCTATATTCAAAGGTGAAATGAGCATCATAAGACGGATATTGGTGGCTAAAAGGTTTACTCAAACTTGTAGGGAAGACTACAAAAAGTTATTTAGTCCAATTACAAGTATTATAAGTATTTGTGTGATCATTGCCGTAGCTGCAGTGAAAGGTTGGAAGCTTCATCTGATAGATGTGAAAAAATGCATTCTCAAGTGGAGAGAGCGACAAAGAGATGTATATGCATTAGGCCGAAGGATATGAGGCGGCGATATATGTGCAAATAAAACAGGCTTTGTAGGACTTGAAACAAGCACCTTGAGCATGGTTTGACAAGTTAAAAGAGTTCTTTTAAATTCACAAAGATTTGATCTCTTTAAGCTGATGCGTGAATATTCATCGATCATTCTTCAAGATGAACAATTATTTGTGTGGTTTATGTTGATGATTTAATCATTACGGGCAATAGCTCAAGTTGAATGGAAGAATAAAGTATTCACTCTCTCAAATATTCAAAATAAAAGAGTCGGAAGAATTTCATCTTTTTTTGCAATCAAAGTTATAAGAGATGAAAGAGGTGTATTGATCATGGAAAAGAAGTTAACCCATTAGAAAAGCACGAGATGATGGGTTCAAAGCCAATTGTACCACTTGATGTGAACCACAAGCTGTCAAAGAATGATGGGATCTAATTGAAGATGTCAAAATACAGAGATAGTAAATAGCCTGATTCACCCAACTATAACCTCGTCAAACTTAGCATATCTGGTTGGGATTGTGAGCCAATTTATGCAAGAGCCAAAGAAATTGTGAGAAGCGAATATTGAAGTATATGAAAACAATCATTAATGATAATGTATTTTATAAACACGGAATACCTATCAAGTTTGTACGTTATTATGATGCTGATTGGGCAGTGCTCAAGTACTCGGTGCTCAATATTTGGATACAGTTTCAATTTGGCTCTAGACGTGTGTGTGTGTCGTGGCCAAGCAAGCAGCAATCTTTAGTAGCATTATCATCCACATAAGTAGAATATAGAGCAGCCATGATAGCCACATGCAAAGTGCGTTGTCTACGCAAATACTCCAGAGACGTTATGGACTACAGTGTTCCAACTCAGAACGACAACATCAGTTCATTAACGCTAGCATTAAATCCCATCTTCCATGTATGCACAAAATACATACTGGTGCACTATCACTTTGTTCATGAAGTATTAAGCATTGAGGTTGAGTTGATATACATTCTAATTAATAAACAAGTATCTTCATCAAAGTACTAAATCAAGAGAAGATAATTGAATACAAGTGATCCTTGTGATAAGGTTTGGAAGAAAATTGAGTCATCCAATTAGTTGAAATCCCATTAGTATTTGGAGGCCATAAGAAAGGAGCTTGTAACCAGCCTATTGAGTTCTAAAATTAATAAAATAAAGAGTTATTTTTCTGCCCCAAAATTTATTTGTAATTGAATGACCCATGAGACCCATCAACACTCAAAGCTTATGTGCGCAAGAATAATGGAGAGGACCACGAATTAGTGTTTTTGTTTTTTAACGGATTATGGAGATAAATGGGACTATTTGCTAACGAAATTTTTTTATTTAGGACTGAAAAAGTGCTCTCTAGTCATGAGCGAATGACCTTTGGAACTAGCTTTTCAATGAGGAAACACATCACAAAAATTCGGTGAACCACTCCAATCCTTTAATGTGCTTGTTAGGCCATCCAAACTAGCCCCAAGTTATTAGCAGTATTGTCATTAGCATTAGTAAAATTACACTATAACCAATAAAATTGTAATAATTATTGATTAAATTAATGAGAAAATTATAGATACCTCTTGGACCATACTTTCTATGGTCCCTAACACTTTTTAAATTATAGAATTAACCTAATTTTTATTTGTTTTTGTTGTCACCCCTTAATGAATAAAATAACTTTGTTTTGAATTAAAATACCCCCCATATTAACCCACATGAGCAGTTTCAAGGGAGAGAAAAAAAAAAAAGAAAAAGAGAGAACCGATCTAGCATTAAGAGAACCAAATGGGTGACGAAAAGGTAGAGAAGTTTTTAGAGAAAGAAACTATCTCAAAATGTGAATGCTTGAGGAAAAACGAATGGATGAGAAAGGCTCATGGATTTATACATTTGGGGTATTTTTATTCAAAACAAAGCTATTTTCTCTCTTGAGGTTGGCTGAAAAAAATAAATAAATAGAGAATTAGGTTAATTGAGAAAGTATGGTTCAGGGGGTATGCATGATTTTCCCTAAATTAAAATGTAATAAAATAAATAATTAACACAAAAAGATTTAAATCAGCTTAAAAATTATAGGGAATGATGGTTATGGTAGACTTTAAAATTTTTTCCAAAAGGTTTTAATTTTTTTATTTTTAATTTTAATTTTTTTTTCTAGATTTTAGGATAGTTGGTTACCAGTTTGAAGTCTGGTAGTATACTACATTATAGGCAGTCCAAGATCCTCATTCCCAGACCACCCATATTATGGTGTTAGACCACATTATAGGCAATCCAAAGATGGAGACCTCGAACCGATCACCAATAGGACACAACAAAGAAAACTAAAAAAAAAAAAGAAAATTAAAGCCGGTTAGGGATGATATCCTCGGATCATCCCATGATGGAGGGGCATTTTGAAAAAATTTAGAAAACTCTACCGTAATCAAACTTCTTCGTAATTTTTCAGTCATTTGGAGTCCTTTTGTGTTTCAACTTTTTTTTTTCTTTTTTTTACGTAATTGGATCTAAAAATATTCGGAGCAACTCGTTAAACTTTTTCCAAACCTTAAAAACAAATTATCCTCCTGCTTAAGAAACAAGATATTATCAGGCTACATTGAACACAAGAGCCAATCTCTTTCTATGTTCAAAATTTATGTACATTTTCTCCTGTAATACCAAACACCAGAGCCCAGCTATAAAACTCGTGAGCGGTGGATCTCTCTCTTTCTCTCTAGAACCCAGGTGCTACATGGATTAATGGAGCAACATTCACCTCTCTCTCTCTC